GCGTTTCCATGACCACTATTAAAGTCCAAGAGCAGATTTAACAGAAAATCGGTCCACTTCTTTTTCTGGTGAAAGAGGCGCCCCTAATGTCTACAAGTGTACTTCGTTACCGACTATATGAACCAAACAGTACGGTGCACATCATTTTCACCAGGCACAGAAACAAAAATATTTCAAGAAAATAACAGCTACACCCGCAGCTTTAAATACTGCAATAAAACAAAAGAAGGACACAGAGTAGAAGTGCTGCGAAGGTGCCACCAGCTCATTGTTTGGGTTGAAAGGATCCCTAGAGACGCTGAACAACGCTCTGAAAGACACCAGAGGTTAAAAAACCCCAATGGGAGCCGTTTTCCTCCTTCTGTTTCATCATTTAAGACAAACCATGCTCGTGATTCTTAAAGGCACGAGAGCCGATGCTGTAGTAGCTTGCATTATGTCATCTTTCTTGTGGCAGAACGTGACAACTTTCACCCATACAGCAAACAGGAAGGCCCAGATTTCAGGAACTTCTTGCCATCAGATGCATCTGGAGAGACGGCTGTTTCACACGAAGGCACAACTGTGGATACTGGACGATCTTACAGCAGATGTTTTCCCAGACATCAACTACAACAAACTAAATTGGCAATAATCGCCCTCCACCAAGATATTTATTGGCAAAATCAACGACGACCTACTGCGAAACCTTCCAAGACAACTCAATACCTACAAGTCCGTGGACACTGTTGTTACACCACAAAAGTCGGTTTATTACCACCCCGAGTTCTTCATCTTCTTGGACCCCTCCGGACTACCAACTCACCAAATTCATCTCAAAATTGGAACCCGGGTCATTCTACTGAGGAAACTGGAGCCACCACACTTCTGCAACGGCACGCGGTTACTGGTTAAAATGCTCTGACCATTGAAGCAAACACATTTAGAGGTTGCGGCAACGGAAACAATGGCTTCATACCACGTATAACTCTAACACCATCCGTTAGGGAATGCGACTGTCTCCTTGCGGCTCTAATTTGCCATGTCAGGCCAAACACTGAAAACCGCCGGTCTGAACTTAGGTCAACCATGTTTTTTAAACGGCCACTTATACGTGGGGTGCTCGAGAATGTGAAGAAAAAAAGAAATTCGTGTTCGTCGCAAAAGCCCAACGAAAAATATCGTCTACCGTGAGATCTTGTATGTCGTCTAACTTACCGCAGACACCGTGGCTCATTGGTAGTTAGATATTTGATGCCATTCTTTCCAAATTAACTGTTTGGTAAAGTGTTCTTGAGTTTGCCGCTACAGCCTATCAATCCCCCCTTGCAGATGAGATAATTTTCTGACTACCGCACCCGAAGCTTTCCATGTGACGGTCAAAGGACGTTTAAAATGGGAAGAGTTAACAGTCTTTGTCATGGATACTGAGAGAACGAGAACACGACCCTTTTCAGGGCGACATTCAATCAATTGTTACACCCACGGGATATCCCTGCAGCTTTTCCATGGCTACTGTGAAAGCATGACTCTTTTTAGGGACACTTTGCATTCATTTATTGCATCCCTAAGAGGACCATGTGGCTTCTCAAGGGTTTCTCCCCCTTTTTCTATTCTTTATTAATGAACTATGGAAAAATTGTTTCTTCCTCAACAAATAACACTTCTGGTCAGGGAAAATCGAAAAAAACCTGTTAACACTGAAGGAAAAGAAGCCTTTCTTTTAGCGCACCCAACTTCTATTGACTATTGTTTTAAGCTTAAATGATCACTATTTAGTAAAACAGACATTTCGTTAACTTAACTTAAAAAGGACTTACAACCGAGCAACGCCGGTAGGGTCTGCTAATATATATATATATATATATATATATATATATATATATATATATATATATATATATACCCTTACAGCAAACACGAAGGTCCATATATATATATATATATATATATATATATATATGTATTAACAGACACTACCCGGCGTTGCTCGGTTGTAAGCCCTTATACACACACACCCACACACACACACACACACATATATATATATATATATATATATATATATATATAAAAGAAAGAGATTATGGTGCTTCCAACGAGAGAAAAGTGTGTATATTAAAAAACGTTTTTGGTTTTAATGTGGATATTTTAAAAAAATATTATTCTTTATTTCCCATAATTTTACTACACGAGTTTCTGGTCTCTTGACCGTCTTTAGGTAACAGGCGGAGATTTCCACATATTATTAAAAATATTTTTTTTTTTCCTTTATGTTTTTCGATGTTAAATATTCTCGATATGAGATATTCTCTATTTTTGTATTAGTAATCCGAATGACCTTCTTGAATTGAATATATAGATATATTACTGTGACATTTAAAAAAAAAATCTGACGATAATGCATTTCCACAATTTCCTGTTCTTTGTAACATTTACAATATATACAGCCGTGGACATATGTATTCACCCACTTCCATAATTACAAATGAATCTGTAATATTTCAAATTTTTATTGAAATTTTATGTGCGTTTTTTCACAAATTACAAAATAATTAATTTGAAAGAATGTACAATGATGCCCGCAAAAACATTATTATTTTGATGTCAAACAATAATAAAATAAAAAATACCAAATACTTTTAACGCAGGAAAAGATTATTGGCCCTCTGGCCTCAATAATCAATTGTGTAACATTTACTCTTGATTATTGCTTTTATTCGTTTTCGATAGTTTCTTACAATATAACTACACACACTGGTAATTATTTTGCTCCATCCTTCCTTGACAATAGCTTCTAATTCCTAAAAATTCGGAGGATATATTTCCTTAGGTTTTCTTCAAATATTCCCATAAATTCTCTGTGAGATTTAGGTCAGGTATGTGTGAGTAGTACGCCAATACCATACATTTGCTGTCATCTAAGTATTTTGTAACAATTCGTGCCATGTGTTTCGGGTGATTGTCATGTTGGAACATCCAGTGAAAATAACTAAACACTGGAACGTACAGTAAGATTAGTCAAATACAGTTCCGTGTATTCCATTTTATTCACACGGCTTGACCCGACCCAAGGCAATGAACTTAAGGCACTTTCCGACAGCCCCCCCAGGGAAACCCACTTGAAGAGGGTGATAAATTCCAGAAATCTGTTCCTTGTCAAACCAAACATAGCAAGATCCGAACACGAGTCGCATGTTCAGAAAGCGAAATATGTTATCAGTCAGACACACGCTTACACATATAGTATATTTTGACGGCTTTGAAGCCAGGAATGCATACATCTGCAACTGTGTAAAGAGAGGTCCAAATATACATCAGTTTTAGAACAGGTCAAATAATACAGTCATAAATATGCACACTTACACAAGCATAATCACAGACACATTCATAGTTTTCAATCAATATAGTGAATAATCGCTTTCATTGATGTGTCTACTGCTTGAAGATAAATCAATAAGGAAAAAGACAGGTAAACTATAGACCAATATAATGAGATAAATCAATAGGGAGTATATCAAGATGTATATCGATTGCCAAAAAACGAGAAGAAAGTGCTCAGTATATATATAGAGAGAGTGACACAGAGAAAGAGAAGGACAAGGCGAGAGAGAAAGGGGAAGAGAGAGCGAGGGCGAGTTATATATACATTAAGTAAACTCTCATACGTCTGTATTTATTGATTAGTAAATACTTATCAAATTCTCGACGGTTAGACCAGGTTATGGAGACAAATGGCTACACTATTTCATAAATATAGATAAATGATATATAAATAAAAATGGCCGAATACATAAATGTATATAAATAGTTAGATACAGATCTAAATAGAAGGGAATGCCTTCATATATTTATCCGCAAAGAACGTATTAATACAAATACGATCACCATCTCACCGACAATTGCACACGAATACAAACGCAGCCTTTCACATAATTGTATTTATAGGCGATGTTATTTTATTTCATATATATATAGACATGTATCAAAACTCTTTGAATTAAGAGATTTTTTTTATATGCCTACATCAGGACAAACTCTTCTGTATGAACAGGCTTGCTGAAACATAGATGGCGAAACAAGTTCTCTTACATTAAACCTTTGCACAAATAAACATAATATTATATAAACCATAAGTATAATGACCTTACACATAAAGCAAATTTTTCCTCTCTCATTGATCTGTTTGTCAACATGGAAAAGCACTCGGCCTTTTGGATCAAAGTCCCTGGACAACTTTTGCGGATTTGTCAGTTTAGGGTCGATTTATTTATTCCGTAACAGCTCAAACCGATTATGCATCAGCAAATGCTCACTAAATTTTGTTCTATGTTCGCATTAGCACTGAGGAAACTATAAAGAAAAAAACATTAGTCACGGGTGGTTTATTTTATGTTACGAATTGGCAGTTACTGCACATCACGTGGTAACATTTTTGTGCGTCCAAATCTTGTAAAAATCTATTTTTGTTGTATGGTCGGTCGTAATTTATTTTCTTTAGTCTTTCGATCACTATTTATTGACACACGCACTTTTCACTGAGTAGGTTTCGCTCTTTAGGAAGAGAATACAAACATAAATTTAAATATATTTATAAAAAATAATAATAAAATATACGGAGAATATATGACAATTATGCTTTGAAATATTCTTAACACAGAAGCATCGAAAACTATAATTATACTATAGTAAGAATTAAAAATTAACGTTTGTACCTGATGAATGACTATTATTTTATTTTGTTTGTTTATGTTTTTTTACAAAAGACCCTGAAGTATATCTTTAGGAGATCTAAAGATTTATTTTTCTTTAGTGTCTTTTTTATTTCTTTTAAGTTAGTCATATTTCATCATCAACAGAGTAATTGTAGCTATTAACTATATCAAAATCGTATTAGAAAATTACAGTGAAAATAATGACTTATTTCTTTTTTAAATTTACATGAGTTTATTGAAAACATGAATATTTGTCAAACTTATTCTGCATCACGTGATTAATTTTTCTGCTCTCCATGACATGGCTTACGGCCATATCATGTTGAAACATTCGTCCCCGTACGATCATCGAAGTTAAGCAACTTCGAGTCTGGTAAGTACCAAGATGGGTCAGCGCTTGCGAATAACAATTGCTGTAAGCTTGAATATGCCGGTGGATTAATGGATAATGGCTCTGAATTGTTAATTGTAGAACCGGATTCCAATTACATTTGGGGTCGTTATATTCCTTTACGCGCAAATACCGTCAGGAATAGTTTGAATCGCCTATTCCCCTCCAAGATATGGGTTAATTAGTAATATTTGCATCACTGAAATCATTATTATCTTGAAAATATTGAAATCTAAAAATGTTTTATGACTTTAAATAACCTACAAAGAGTTGATAAGGGTTAAAAATAATCAGACAAACAATCTTCATCATATACTATGATCAGAATAAAACGTGAATGTATGAATTTTAAATCATTTTTGTATAATATAATTATAATGTTATTCTTTCTATAGACAAGAACGACACGCACGAGATTAAATCACTTAATCGTAAATATTTTTTCAACTTCACACTTCGTTAATCGTCGAATATCTACTCGACCGTTGACAGATTTAAGTTTTTTCTTCTTTTTTTTTGATCGTTGCGTGGATCCTTCGCCTTATAATGTTAGAGAGACTTTCCATTCTCTGGCGATTTGATTATATATATATATATTCCTGTCAATTCGCTTGTCCTTCCTCTGGATTAACCGAGCTCACGTGGTTGACTGCTTTAAATGCCTGGAGCCGCTGTTATCACCACGTGTGTTGCGCATTTCTGCTTATGCTAGCTATGAATCCACGTTCTAGGTCATCAATCTGGTGCAACTAGCTTCTCTGACGATCATGGGTGACAAGGAGCACACAGTCTATTTCGCTATCATATCGAATAAGCCCAGTATATAACGAAATCATCGAAGATCGATTTCTATAAGAAAAGACGTTCCTAAGTGGCATAACTGCAAGTATACGAGATAAAATATACGATGCTTCCTTCATTGAAGAAGGCGATCGTTCTCTGTGCAGTTTCATTCCATTTAACATACAGGAATTGCCAAACTAAAATCAAATTACAAAGGCCGGTATTTGAATTGATTCTACACCTCACTCATAACTTCCCACATATAACATTTCCTGATTATTCTCAACTATACTTAGTGATTTTACACGCACAGATGTGAAAAGATTTGCCTTTATCATTGAAGATTTCCGTGCCATATCTCAAAATAACTTACTAACACGAAACAGCTTTTGTCTTTTCCGTCCAGTGTTCAGTATACTGATGATGAGGGAGAGAGAGTATGCTGAGGATATGAGTTTACATAGTTGGAATAAAAATGACCTCAGACAAAAAACATCAACATTCTTGACCAAGTGTTTCAAGAAATAAAATTTAATATAAACCTTTCCAAAATAGAAACGATCATCTGTAAATAGAGTGAAAGCATTAATGGTACTTATGATAAAGAAATTGAACACGAAATACGTGACTCTATGTGTAGTTTTGTTAAACCTTGGGATATAATTAAAAGCCTATGCATTAAACTAAGAACACGAATCATTACCTCATACTCTCATATGAATGGCATCAATATCGTTTAGATATTACTAAAATATTACCTATATACAATCGCTTTCTCAGATCACTGATTAGAAATGCATTCAAGTGTATAAAACGTGTGGTTCCTGAAGGGAGGCTGTGCGTCGATGGAACTCATACAACGGCGCTAAAGAATCAAAGAAATTTACAGTTGTATATGTTCTCCCGTTCGATATTCACTAAATGATTTGGGGCAACAATGAATGGTATCAATCATGGTGTTTTTTTAATTTAACAATTTTATTAATGTCGGCATGTAATAACTATCCAGTATGGGGTTGTCTACCCACTCACTGGGAACTCGTTGCAGAGAGGAAAGTAAACACGCCTACATTGCTTCACGGTTAAGGCTCGATTCGCTGAAAAAAAAAACATTTCTCTATCTATCATCCCCGAGCTAGCTCAGCCAATCAAATTCGACTTTCTTATTATGTCTTTCATCTGACCCCGGAGGTCAACCGCCGGAAGTCAGAACTGAGATACACTTCCTCTAAAACAAATTGTAGTCTGCTAAACAATTATTTAACATTACCAAATTAGGTTCTGCTTGAGGTAATCTTTCCCCAAACTACATGTTGTTACTGAACTAAAACTTAACAATAAAAAAAAAACTCGTGTCATGTTATTAAATAGCTTAAACCTGCATATTCTACCGAGGTCCATTCAACTCCAAGATTTGTGGATTAGGGCTATATAATCGAAAACAAACTTTGTACTATTCAACAGTTACCATATGACTTGAAGATTTTCACCAGTTAAACAACAACTAAAATGGACAGCACATGTAACTCTTAGAAAAAAATAAGGGTATAAACATGATACTGACATTTCACACTTCCTTTAACAAAGTATTAGGAAGCAATCCAATTTTTCAAGAAAGAGAAATAATCGTTATTGTACTCATGAAACCCGTTATCCCCGAGAAATGTTCAATAGAGAATCTTTATAAATTTCAACCATAACTAGTGGTGTTCAGTCAATAAATGCCAAGTTGTTATTTATATAAAACTAATCGTTTCACTATTACCAATACTATTATTAGAGAATCGCAATGGTTTCTTTTGAAAGATAGGATAGAGATCCTCATTTCCTTCTTTGGACAGAACTACCTACCATAATATAGGTATTTGGAGAAGTCATCTATATATGCGGAAAAAATCTCATTCTTAAAAATAAGTCGAAATGAAGAGCAATATATGTGCATTTAAAATCAGAAATATGTTATCAAGATAAGACTCCCCCCTCCCAACGATGTGGGAAGCCAGAAGAAGTCCATTAACCCCTTCATTAGGCAATAGCTGTGTGTTCCTCGATACCTGGGGAGCGTAGTCCGGTATGGTCAGTGGTTGTATAAGTTGTAACTGTCTTTTCTCACATAGAAATTTAAATGTGTTAAACTGAGACCCGTGATGACACCAGTAGAATGAAAAGCACAGCTATATGCAAATCAACCTCAACACAGATAACTTCTAGTCCGCCGACTGCAATGTTAGCGACACAGCGGGTCATATCATCTATCAAATACAGGAATATATTGACAAATCCATTATGGAAGATATAGCCTTGACAACAATATTCTATGATCACTGCCTAAAACCCTGAGTATTAGTCTAATTTCTATCAACGCTCTACTGCAGAGGGAAACCAACACAGATCATGCAAATATCTGTGTAACCAAAGCGCAAACAAATCATATTATTATACCAGGCATCAGGTTCATTAGTGATAGTGAATGTGTACCAGTGATTAACAGTACCAACAGAGATAATAAATTTCGACTTGATTCCGGATGTACTACTCTGGACCATGGTCTTTCATCGGGTATACACTATGGAATTAAGAGTAACTTGGAATTGCACGATACAGAGGATCTAGGAAAGAATGCATCTGGGGTATACAGAAGTTGAAGGAGAGATGGAAACTTGATGTAGGCGATTTCTTGCGACATTGCATATACATTTAACAAACGAATTATTAGACATATCTTTAGTCAGGAAATCAAGGAACTCTCAATTGTGACAGTTTTTACGCAACCCGATATGATTTTAAATTAAAAATATGAATAAATAAATAATGAAATTTAGTTTTTGTTATTGAAAATAATAATAATAATGTTAATAATAATTTTTGTTACCATTATTATTATTATTATTAGTAGTAGTAGTAGTAGTAGTAGTAGTAGTAATAGTAGTAGTAGTATCATCTTGAATTTCTATTTATACATATTTCCTTCCGGGATCCAACCACAGACCTAAGGTCAAGTATGCCTTCATGACATTTTCCAATGGTCATTTTTATAAAAAGCAAAAACAAACAAAAAAAATCGTACATATTTTACATAGATCAAGCCATTCGTAATGTGTATGTTGGACTTCAATGTGTCCATTGGAAACTTTTCCAATCAATCGGATCGAATAATTGATGTCCTCATGTCCTCATATGCCTCATTCTTCTTCTTCTTGTTCTTCTTCTTGTTCTTCTTCTTCTTCTTCTTCTTCTTCTTCTTATTGAAATAATTAAAGATGCACCTCTCCAATGCAACCAGATGTTGAACCTGGACTTGATTAGTTTGTTCACTAAGGTACACACGTAGGATGTACTCTCTGTAATTAGGAACAGAGTGGCCTCGGAGAACAGACTAGTATATCAATAGATGACCTGATGGAGATGCTGACTTTCGACAGGATTAATGCTTAACAATGGGCTCTCCGTTATCAACAGCAGTGACAAACCTATATATGGAACTTTAAGGAAATGGCATTAGAATCTACATCAGTAAAGCCAAACCTATGGCTGAGATATGTAGATGGCACCTACATAATCTGGCCACACCAGGAATAGGTCAGGCTACCACTGGTACTTATGAACACAATAAGATCATCGATACAGTTCACAAAGCATAGAAAATAACAAGAAGCTCGCCTTCCTGGATCTACTAATATCTCCAACAGGGCAGGGGTTCAAGACATTCGTATACCGCATGTCTACATTTACCTATATTACCTCAACTTCCATTCCCACCACACATACAGTGTAAAGAAATGATTCGTTCGCTGTTTACAACAACAAATGAAAGTTATAAGTGGTAACCCAGAAACATATAAACAAGAAATAGTCAGTATAAGCAGTACCCTACAATATAACAACTACACAACGTACATGAAAATAGCTACGACAAACTGGGATAAAATGATACAAGCCGATAAGAACACTTGGAAAACAGCTTCAGTCGGCCTACTCTATGTAAAGTGATTATCGGATAAAATTAAAAAGATCTGTGGTCCATACAACATCAAAACAACATTCAAAAGTGGTTCAACACTTCGAAGATACGCTTCAAAGTAATAAATCCACCCCATAGAAGAGAATATGACGAAAGTTTGTGTTTACATAATCCCGTGTAGCTGTGGTAAAAAAATATGAAGGAAAAACATCGTAAAGCGGTAAACTAGGAGAAATAGAAAAGTCAGGCTTAGCTGACCATATATCTATTTTTTTCCATATGGAC